CCCTCCATCCAGTACAGCATCCTGCGGGAGGAGCGGGAGGCGGAGCTCGACAGCGAGCTCATCATCGAGTCCTGCGATGCCTCCTCGGCCTCCGAGGAAAGCCCCAAGAGGGAGCAGGACTCCCCCCTGATGAAGCCCAAGGTCATGGACATTATCAAGGAGGAGAACAACTCGCGCGCTGACGCCTCGGAGTACGAGGCCGGTAAAATGACGGAGAGCAGGATGAACAGGGAGAACCTGGCGGAGTCCTCGTCCTACCTGAAAAGCTCCTTTGTTGCACCAAAAATCGGCGCTGAGCCCCCGACCTCTGCCGTCAGCACCGAGGAGCTGAAGGAAAGAGTAAAACTGAAGAAACCCATTGAAGAGACTGTTGTTAACCAAAGTAAAGTGTCTTCCAAGGACTTTGGCAAAAAAAGTCCGCTGGCTTCGTTGCTACTGCCGTTTTTAAATAAGCAGAAAGGTAAATGCAGATGTTGTGTTGGTTTTTGCAGTGCTGCTGAGAGGAGGGGGAGGGAGAAGCGCCTGGTCCTTGCAGGGGAGAGGTTTGGAGTGCGGAGCAGGGGGAGCTGCAGGCACAGGATACCCTCAGGGGGAGGCTGGGCACGCCTGTGACAATCCACACAGCATCCCTGACCTGCCCATCCTCTTAGGGAACAAATAAATACCAGCAAAAAAAGAGGCATCCTCTTAGGAAAGAAATAAATACCAGCAAAAAAAAAAGAGGCATCCTCTTAGGGGAAAAGCAAATACCAGCAGCAATAATTTTAGGGTTTAAGCATAGATACAGGATGGTGCAACACCAGAACTGTAAGGCTGATTTGTACATCAGGTATCTGGAGGACAAAGAGGAACAAATGATCATCTTACCTTTTAAATACTACTTGCTTTGTCCCAGGGGAGGGGTGCAATCAGGGTCCTGCGCCTCTCAGAAGTGTAAAGATAAAGATTTTGAGGATGCCTTTATGAAAACAAAGAGAAAGACTTGGAGGAGGAGAGGAGTTGGGGAGTCTGGGTGTTTCTGGAAGTGTTCAAGGCCAGGCTGGATGGCCAAAAATTGATTTTGAGTGCAGGAAAGGCATGTAAAGGCTGTGCAAAGGAAAAGCCCACATTCAGCCCGACCCCAGAGCAGTGTTGCTGGTTGTGCTGCTGGCAGCCTCTGGGCTCTGGAGCTCCCTGGTGTCCTGCTGGGTGTGCTGACACCACGGCCATGGCCCTGAATAACGATGTGGGGAACAGCAAGTGCGTGTGTGGTTTGCACAGAGATTTCTGCTTAACGTGTATTGCCATCCAGTGGCAATAACAAAAACGGGCAGCGACTTCCCAGCTCCATTTCACTGGAGCTGTCAGGATCCAATGGAGTGGAGCTATTCCCACGTTGTTGATCACCAAGCAGCCTCTCCTGCTTTTCCACATGGTCGGAAAGATGGCTTTGCTTGATGCAACCCGGGCTTGGCTTTGGCAGGAGTTGTGCAGTTGTTACCTGAGTTAGTGCTGCCTCCTGCTCCTGCAGAGCGCAGAGGGGAAGGCAGAGCTGCAGCCAAGCAGCCCTCACATCACTCCTGGATCTCCTCCCAGGGGTGGGCACAGCCCTCACACAGCAGGGCTTGGAGCATGACTGACTGTGGCACTGCAGGAGGGGAGGCTGCCAGCTCAGTTTCTTCTTCCTTTTTATTCTTGTTTTAAATTATTATGTGCTGGACTTGCACATGGCTTGGGCATACAGGGAATTTCAGAAAAGACCTGCTATCTTGGAAACATCAATCCTTTGGCCCAGGGCATTTTGCAAGAAGTGTGGATCAAGGCAAGCTGAGAAGGAGCTTTGGCTGAGTCTTTCTGTCTTCTTTTGTGGTGCCTTTTGGCCACTCTCTGCCAGGATGGCCTGGCTTACCTTGTACTGGTGTCCCACAGCCTGAGGACCTGGTCCTGGGAGGAGATCCCCCTTATGCTGGAGGATCATGTCTCTCCCCAGCCCCTCCATCACTGACAGCATTTGAAGATTTCTTCTTCTTGATGCATTTAATGAAATATGCAGCAGCTAATTACCTTTCAGATCAGATGCCTGATCTCAGGATATAAAAAAGAGAGAGATGTGGAGATTCAAAGTAATGGTTATTTTAATTTTGTTTTTGCTTTATGGCAGGATTTCACTTAAGAGAAGGAAAGCCCAGGCCCGGGGCTGTGGGCTGTCACTCACAGGTTGGATGACACAATGGGCAGGACCCAGGCCCCAGGCAAGATCCTGCTGGACATACAGTCAAATAAAATTAATCATTTCAAGTGCATTATTCTGCAGCACAGGCCTGTGCCAACCTGACACAAAGCATCTTGATTTTGATGCCTTATGAAAGGCTTTCACAGCACTGCTCCAGTCATTCCGCTACCAGGGTGTGTCCTTACCACACACCCTTGGATGGCTGCTGTGGCTCTGAGCACCCATGAGGGACACCAGGGTTCAGGGCCACCCATTTCTGGTAGTGTCACAAGCTGCAGTCAAGGTTTTGGGGTGACAGTGGCAAATTCCCTGGGTTGAAGAAGGTGTTTTCCCTCCTTCCTGATGCTTCTTGTGCTGTCCCATGGTGTCCAAGGCTATCCCAGAGTGGACAAACACTAAGCAGTGTGGGCTTTTCCCCCATTTGGTGTCACAGACAACCTGATTTTACAGAGTTTCTCAAGGAAATGGTTTTCCAGCAGAGATCTAGGAAAGACCTGAATTTGTTGGGAATGTTTTTTTGTTCAGCTAAACATCATCTGCATGGAGTTAGCACATCCCTGCTGTTGGAGGAGCTGCTAGTGAGGCATTTTTCCATGGGAAGGGGATGTTTGGTTGAGTGCTTTAGCAATCTGAAGTTCATTTCTCATCTGCATGCTCTCACCAGGCTGGCTCTGCAACCAGCAGCAAGCCAGGCCAAGGCTTAAGCATACGGGAATGTTAGTTTAATATTTTAGTGCCATCTGCTGTAAGTGCCTCCACACTCTGGCCCATCTGTTTTCTGTGCTTCAGTTTGCTTTTTATGGGGCTCTGGTAGCTTTGCAGCCTTTGGAAAGCCCCAGCTTGGAAAAGGTGTAGGGGAGAGGGATGTCCTGCCTGGGGGTGGAGCGTCCACACCTTGTGATGCTGTAGGAGGAGTGGGATAAAAACCTGTCCAGAGAAGCAAACATGTGCACCTAGTCCTGATCTCTCAGAATCTCTGCTGGTCAGAGTGACTCTGAGATACATAAAAGTCTCTTTTCCCAGCCTGGCAGTTGAAGAAGGAGTCAGTATTCTTCTGTTCTCATTCTCAGGGTTGTTTATTGTTTCTTATCTATAAAATGCTTTCTACAACCCACCAAGGTACATTCAGCAGGTCAGACAGAGGCACTCTGGCCACCCTCAGGGTGGTGTTATCTTTTATACTAAAAACTATGTGTACGTTATTTACAATAACTTCCCAATACCTATCACCTATGTTAGACAGTGAGTTTCTACCTTAAACCAATCCAAAAGTGCCAACATCAGCCAGAAGATGGAGGCCAAGAAGAAGGAAAAATGTCGCAGACATCTTTTATGAAAAATTCTTTCCTTAAGATTTTTCCTCCTGAGAAGCTGAGAGGCCTCAGGAACAAAATGTAAACATTGATTATCTGCTGCTGTGGAATGCAACAGGTGCATCTGTGATTGGTCTCATGTGGTTGTTTCTAATTAATGGCCAATCACAGTTAACTGGCTCGGACAGAGAGCCCGAGCCACAAACCTTTGTTATCATTCTTTGCTATTCTATTCTTAGCCAGCCTCCTGATGAAATCTTTTCTTCTATTCTTTTAGTATAGTTTTAATATAATATATATCATAAAATAATAAATCAAGCCTTCAGAAACATGGAGTCAGATCCTTGTCTCTTTCCTCATCCCAAGACCCCTCTGAACACAGTCACAGAGAAAGACTGGACACACCCAGATTCCTCCATCTTGCCTCCTGAACCCCCATTCTAAAAACCCCAAAAATCTATTTTTTCACCCCGTGACAAACTAACTATTATTCTACTTAAACTCTCTTGACTTGTAATTCTTCATATAAGGTTGGTAATTGTTTTTTCCATGAGTCAAGATCAAAGGCACAGGGGTCTTGGGCTCTGGGCCAAGGTCTCTGAGCCCCCTGGGCAAGGTCTCAAGTCCTCCAGGGCAGCCAGAGGAATTTCCTGGGTTCTGACACTGGTCTTGCCATGAAATCTTAGAGTGGCTCAGTGAACCTCTGTGGTTCCTCCCACCTGAATGGAACCATTCAGGTGGGAAGGGGGCTGTGGAGGCTGCTGGTCCAACCCCTTGCTCTCAAAACAGCTTGGTCAGATGGATCAGGGCCTCCTCTGCCACCTCTGTCCATCCTCTCAGCCGAGGCAGAGCTTTGGGGAGCTGAGTTGGAGCCTGCAGGTCTGGGTCAGTCCTGTGCTGTCGCTGTGGGCAGAGCAGGGTAAAGGAGAGGTGCCACTCAATGTAGCTCAGACAGAGAGGGCTGGCGGGAGCTCCACAGGGTCCCAAGAGCCCATCTCTTGGCCCACAGCCATGATTCCTGGTAGAACACTCTTGACAGATGCTTGTGACTCATTTGGAAAGGCCTCTGTTGGCAGATCCTCCACTAGCTTCAGGTGTCTCTCAAAAACTGTTAAGTCTTCCAACCTTCTTTACTTTAGGCTAAGCAATTCTGCTTTCTTCAATTTTTCCCCTCTGTGGTTATGTTTTTGAGCTTTCTGCACTGTCTTGTTCCCTCTGTTCTTTCCCACCACTGGGCCCAAACCATCATCTCCAGCTGTGACTGGAGGAATTTCCCAATATCAGCACTGACTCTTCCTCTGCCCATGGAGGAGGACAGAGAACTTCCCAGACACACATTTCTGTCCCACCTCCCCATTTCTGGCCATTTCATGCAGTTCAGCTGCCCCCTGACAGCTTGTGACTCACCAAGCTGTGATAGCTCAGCCAGAGCTGAGCTGGAGATGTGCAGGCCATGCTGGTGGCAATGAGCAGCGTGCACACCAGTGGGTCTGGGCTGTGCTTGTCCTTCACTCCTTTTTCAGGAAGCAAGGAGTGAGTCTGGCCCCTTCTGGCCTCAGGAGTGGTTGCAGTGTCACCTGTCCCATCTGCAGAGGGGTCACAGAGAGCTGAAAAATAGTCAGGTGCTGACTTTGGAGTTCTTCCTGGAGTCCTGGTTTGATGGGAGCGTAGCAGGGTCACTCAGAGGAGATGCCTGCACTGTGCAAAGGATCAGAACAAAGCAAAGAACAGGGGATTTTCTCCCTAGATAATGGTTTGCTTGGGCAGGGGCTGGGATCAGTGGTGATTACTGCAATAATCCCTCTCACAGTGAACACCATGTACATACCAGAGCATGACCTTTTTATGACCTTCAGAAATGTCTCAGTAAATCTCACCCCTTCATTCCACAACCTGTGTTATCCATAGCCTGATTATTGGCCTGCTTCACCTCTA